AATTATTCTTGTTCCACATTTATAGGATTTTATGAAGATCATTTGAACTTCAATTTTTTAGTCTTTGTGAAAAATTGTTTCTAAATTTCTTTACATACTATATATAAGAACTCCTACACTCCTAGAAAAAACTAATTTATATATTTATTTATCCCAAATTTTCATTTTGAAACATTTTAATACGTGCTTTTCCTCAATATTTTAAAAGTTGATTTTTTGTTGAACTGAAATATGTAATATGGAAAAATTCTATCAAATAACATAACTCAGAATCAAAAGAGGAGATAATAATAATGTGGGATATTTCATTCTCTTCCCCTAATAGTCATTTGAAACATTTTAGCGTGTTTTTCCATTCAGCTGAAACAGTAAAAATATAGAAATTCCCATAGACACATAATTGGTTGCCAAGATTTTCGCCAAGTTACCATAATGTAAAGATCAACCCTGGGATTGCTTTTTTAAGTAAAAATAAGTCGACGTGTAAATGGTTTATGTGTATGTGCTATTTTGAAAAACGCGCAAGGAGTTTGCGATTGTGCACTTTTTCCCAATTTTGCAGTTAATATTTGTCATGATTAAGCAATTTTGTTGTTACATAAAATTTCTAGCATAAGTGTAATTCGGCTAGTAGATTGTTGGAAAAAGTGTTGAGTAAATAAAAAGAAAAGAAACATATCTTTACTTGATGAAGACAAAATGGCGGCGGGGAAAAAAAATAGAGGGTTGCTGTTGCAGAGTTGGTCGCCAAAAAATCGCCAAGTTACCATAATCCAAAGATCAACCAATTTTGCTATTGAATTAACATGGAGAACTTTTTTATTGAAATATTTTTTCTCTGTGACGTTAGTTGCATCTACTACAAAATAAAGATTAAAGAACTTTTTTAAACATTTTGAATTTGTTGTCATATTGATCTATGAAGCACTAGATTAGTGAGTTTTTATTACATTATTGACAAATATAGGGGTCTAGTCTGGACACCTGTCGAGATCGATATCGAAAAACCAGTCGGGATTCTCTTTCCACTCGACAGCAAACGGGAGAGCGAGTCTGACCCCTTCAAATTCCGTCGGCGGAAAAGGAAGTGGAGATTCCGTGCGGAAGTGACGTTTATTGCATAGCAACCAGTCTGTCTCACCTCTACATTGCTCGAGGCTGAGGGAAAGAGGGGTAGTTTGTTGTCAAAAGGGCTGCTTCGCACGTGCTTTTCAATGAGGATGGCGGTATAAAAAAATTACCAATCAGTTGGAGTAAATGGTGAAATTTTTCGAAAAACTCTGCAGCTGTTAAGTGATAAACTTGATAGAACATTTAGTAAAGAGCACAGAAAAAAGAAATGGGAAGAGTCAATGGATATTTTACACAAAACTGCAGATATGTGAAGAGAGTAAGCATAATTTTACGTATGATCTTTTGCAAAATGGAAATTTTCTAAAAGGTTACATGTTTGTAAAATATTGTTAACAGTTTTATGGTTAAAATATTTTCTCTTAAAAGTTATGTAACAGTGTCCTAAATCAAATCATTAAAATATAGCATCGTGTACGCGTGTTTAATATTTCTATTGAATTTGAATCAAATTTTTTTTTAATTTTTAGCAGCCCATGATTGTATCAATAATTTTATTTATTCAGGAATTATACTTATCACGTAGCTACAAATATACCATATATCGAAAATACCAATAAGCAGAAAACTTTGGATTGATGCATTAAAAAACGATTTACTAGTAAGTAAAAATATAAGAAATTTTTAACAAAAGTAATGGGAAGGAAAATAAAAAGAATTAAATAACTATAGGTTAAACCACAAAACATATCATCTTGCATATAAATGCACACACATAAACATATAATATTATATAAAACGGAAAGAAAAATTGCATAACAGCTGCATATTAAGAGAATGGAGATATTTTTCTGTTTATATAAATGAACTCTAGCATTCTTCCGTGTCACTAAATGCAATTATAGATACGTGGGTACCATCCTTACAGCGCCTGATGACACCAGAAAATCCAAACTTTCGATTGAATCATAATTTTATTCTTATTTTGTTGAAAACTATGTAAATTTATCAATATGGTGAAAATACCAGATCAAATAGCATATGTAATCCTCTCAAATGCACCAACTTGACATTTAATTCTCAGTCCAATATATCTGTCATTAACCAATATATCTCTGGATGACTTCCAGATGCAAAACAATTAAGGCAAGCAATTATAAATATATAATTGTTTAATATATTGTTTCATAATTTGTATAATATATTATAAATATATCAACATATGCAGTGAAAGGAAATTGTAGTACATATTCCTATTTATAACCTTTTTAAATAGATCTCACCAGGGACCGTGAGGTAAAATCGCTGAACACTGGTAGTTCAGTCCGAGGTCCGAATATCGCGAACGGGTTGGCTGCATTACCAACATATCTCTAATAATCGATATATCAATATATCTGTCATTACTAATATATTTCTCATTACCAACATATTTCTGGTAACTTCCAAAAGCATAAAAATTTAAGGCGTACAAAACCTTTTTTAAATAAATAACTATATACATATGTATAACTGTATTATAAATATATCAGCATATGCAGTGAAAGAAATTGCAGTACATGTTTCTATTTATACCCTTTTTAAATTGATCCCACTAGCGGCCGAGCGGTAAAATCTCTGAACACTGATAGTTCGGACCGAGGATCGAATCCCGCGATCGGGCTTGCTGCATGGGCTTCATTACAAACATATTTCTCGTAAATTCCAAAAGCATAAAAATTTAAGACTTACAAAACCTGTTTTAAATAACTAACTAACTAAATGTATTATAAATATATTAACATATGCAGTGTAAGGAAATTGTAGTACACATTCCTATTTATGCCCTTTTTATATCGTTCTCACTAGTGGCCAAGCAATAAAATCTCTAAACACTGATAGTACGGTTCGAGGTTCGAATCCAGCGAACGGACTATCTGCATGTGCCTCATTACCAACATATCATTGGTAACTTCCAGAAGCATAGGAGATTAAGGCACGCAAAATCTATTTTAAATATATATATATATATATATATATATTATCAGATGCAGTGAAAGAAATCGCAGTACGTATTCTTATTTATACCCTTTTTAAATCGATCCTACAAGCGGCCGAGCGGTAAAATCCCTGAACATTGGAAGTTCGGTGCAAGGTTGGAATCCCGCGAACGGGCTGGCTGCATGGGCGTTTTCGTGGTTTCCCCACGTTAGCTAGTTTCCTTTAGAAAGTCCTCCACGAAGGCAACCCTCACTTTAGAATGCCGTAATTACATAAAACCAGCACTTTAAGATCTGAATAAAAATACAAAACTGATGTAATATCTAAAAGCAGACCACATTAAAAAATCTGATAACTAATTATAAATCTTGCATTATAATATTTACAAGAATTTAACCGAAAATTATACAGGAATATAACTAGTTTTATACAGGAGATTTTATAAACTGACATTCATATCAGTACAGTTAAAACTACTTAAATAATTTTTTTTAACCCAAAGCAATTTAATGTAAATATTGAATTTAGGATGTGAATAATTTGAATTATATACTGCATATTCTTCAATGCACGTGTTAATGTATTAAATTTTTATACACTACAAATTAAAATAAAAGTAGAGGAAAATACATTATAATTTAAAACATAAAATTGCAAAATTTATAAATTATTCATCCAAACATGAAATTAAGTACATTGATATATACATTAGTTGAAAAATTAAAATTTTAAATTAAAAGTATGCACTCCTTCTTTATATGTGAAATAGGAAAACATCAAATATATTATTTTCACTAAAATTTAATTAAGGAATTGCTACTGCAGAATACATAAATAATCTAGAATCGTCAGCATCAAATGCGTTATTTCTATAGCGAAATATTCGAGTTTTTCACAAATCTTAAGAAATTAAAATATCCATTAAATACACTTCCAGAAGCTATCCGCCGTCCTCACTTTAGCTCTAAAACGACAGTCAGAAACTTAAACGGCAGCTATCCAGCTGACGGAAAAATTTCCGACACGTCGATCTCTGTAATGATCGAGACGATGACACCAGACTCGCTCTCTGTCGAATAGATTGCAGAAAACGACCCGTTCTTCCATCTCGACAGTGTCCAGACTAGGGCCCATAGTTTTTAAACAATCAAAAAATTTTCAGCAGAGATAATTATTTGTCAAATATGAATGTGTTTTCAAAGAGGAAATAAATAATAAGTGAAAAAAAATTCAGTTAGAACATTCACATCTCTAACAAAGTAATTTGCTTTGATTCAATCTTTATAATACAATATATTTTAAAATGATAAGGCAAAATCCAATGTGAAAGGTTATGCGAAGTTTACGATAGTACCTAGAGTATTCAGCATTTCGTATAATACTATAACCAGATAAAATAATATTAAAATTTAACTGTTAATAAAATCTGAATATAAGTTTCTTACATTACAGAAACAGCCAAATTATGCAATTACATAAACGAATGCACTTTCAGACTATATACTTAATACTGTTTACAAGTGCAAGCTAAAGTTCTGTTTATGTTACTTCTCACCCTTCAGCGCATGCTCAAGAATTACTATCCAGGCGAAACTAGTCGATTTGTCCATGACGTCAAAAATTCGAAAAGTGGGGTAGGGTTTGGAAATACGCGGAGCAGGCCTGTAGATATCTAGTTGGCCTTGGTTATATGAAGTCGTTGAGCAGACCTGTTTTTTACTACCAGCGACATCTGGCGGCCCACAACTTGCTGTCGACTCTCGTAGCGTAGAATAACTTTCCTGACTCTCTTTTTCCGCCTTCCACACCTCCTTTCACACTACTCGTTCTCCCCCTCCCTGATTATTATCAGAAGTCGAGTAAAAAGATGTTTCTACATCTTGACACTCGAGAATAAAATACGATCTCTGTGTGTGTGTGTGTGTGTAAATTAACATAAAATTAAAATTTAAAATGAGAATTCCTATCAATTTTTAATCTAGCAATATAATTCGTAATGGCTAATCATTTGATAGTTTAAACATAAGAAATGGCAGCAGTGTGAAGAAATTTGTCGAAACGTTGTTTACTCTGAATTGAAACAGGACAGCATTTTAGCTATGGTTAAATAAACGCAATCGACTATTTGAATTTAATTTATATTTAGAAATATTCAAAATTATACTCTTTTGCATAACGCTAATGCGTGTCTGACTGACTTTTTTTAGCTCTCATCTAGAAAACATATCAGGTACAATTTTACATGACAGTAGAGTTTTTCTTTAATTTCAATAAAATTTGACTTCACATGCATTTTTTCGCAATAAAACAGCGATAAACAAATTATTATTTTCACTGCTCTATATTTGGTCGTGTAATTCCTTGTATGTCTTTTCCATCGTGTAAAAATTATATTACCGTTTAGGGTAAATAATATACTGGCGTTAAGCAAGTAGTGTGCACACATTACATTCTTGAATGCTGTAAAAATTACCCCTAATCAAAATTTAATTTGTTTTGTATTATATTTCGTATAAGAGAAATATTCCTGTGCCGAAAGGTTATATAAAATTTAATATCAAATCTGGTGGAATCAATCTGTTGGCGTTGTTTAGAATTTTAAATAATCTGCGTGAATAAAATGTTATATTTTTAAAACATTCTCTAAATTTTATTTTTTTCTTGTTTTGGGCTATAATATTAAGCTAACTTCGTGAAGAAACGGCATAACGAGGAAATTTGGTTAGGGTTTCGCATTTGCTGGTTACCCTTAATTAATTAGTAAATCAGTAATCAAGTTCCATTTTTATAGTAGTGAAATAATATAGTCATAAATCTTTTAATTTTCAAATTTAGCCAACCGGTTATTTTGTTTGCTTAATGTATCATATCAATTCTTGAGTTCCTCACCTTTGTATTTAGCTGTTAAATCAGCTGTAAATTTATATTTTAAATTTAAAAGTAATTTATATGAAATGTGAGCTATGTCATAATATTTGCATTTTGAGATAAATTCTCTACCATTTCATTTGGTGAAGAAGTTTGTTGGTAATTTTACATGTTGTTGAATAAATAATTCTAGTTAATTTGTTGAGTTTTTTGGTGAAATAATAGCTGTGGTGTAGCTTACAGATATGTAGGTAATGAAGAATTTGGTGGTGTTAGTCGATGTTTCAGTACGTCAGTCTCAGGTCATTTTGAGATATTGATTGATGGTTAGGAGAGTGATTTGATTTTGGCATGATTCTGTAAGATTATTTTCTTGTGTTTTAAGAAATTTTCCAAGATTTTACCAATATCAATTTTTTTTATAAACTTTACATTTTTCTTTTTTTGATAACTATTTTAACTGTTGAATTATTTTTTGTTTCTAATTTAAACATTTTTAATACTGCCTGCATTAGGCTTTAAACATAATATATGATGTAAAATTATCCTTTTAAAATTTATGTTAAAATCATGTCTATGGTGCTATTGCCTAATGACAGTTCATAATTTTTTAATTTTCCCTAAATATTGATAAAACATTAATAATTTAAAAGATAATTTGTACTCTTCTGTTATTATGACTGGATTCAGAAATGCGTGTATGTATGTATGACCATGTATGTGTGTGCATACACATCTGAACGCATGTATACATAATCATACACAAATATACATAATATACATAAGTATACATAATCATACATAAATATATATAAACATACATCTGAATCTGGTGCTAATAACAGCAGAGTACTAGGTAATTTTACCTGGACTTCTTAATACTGTTTTGCAACATATGTTAAGTTTTCTAACATCCTTCAGTTGATCAGAAATTTTACTTTTTTTTTTTTTTTTTTGGTAATTATCTGGGTTGAGAATCCTTCAGTTGATTGGAAATTTGAGTATGTTTTTTGTGTACGTTATGATATGCATCAAGAATTCATCAGTTGATTGGAAATTTAACTTTAGTTCTTGTTTATGTTGTGATCTGCATCAAGAATTTTTCAGTTGATCAGAAAATTGACTCTGTTTCTTGGGTATGTTATCGTCTGCATCAAAAATAAAATTTATTATTTTTTCTTTTTTGTGATAACATACAAATTTGAAACTTCTTCCTATATTTCAGTTTTTAATTTTATTCAAACAATAAGATACTCTTTCAATTTGATATTTTTTATGCATATGCTATTTGACATTCAGAAAGAAATGCAAAAACAAATAGAACTTTACAAATTTTTTATTAGTTTTAATTTTACTCACTGATAAGTATTTGTTTCAAGAATATTTTTATATCAGAAAAGCACTAAAATATTTGTAAATTTTTAACTTTTTATATATTAGATTCTTCTTTGAAGTGTAATCTAAATCTAAAGTTTTCAGATTGGAAGATTAAAAAAAAAAAAGGAAAGAAAAGCATAGTGTAAGTTAGGGCTGTGAAGTTTTTAATATAAATAAATCATTGACTGCAGAATTTCTAACGTGCAATTGTAATATGAATTTTGCATTTTCCCTTTGCAGTATAATTACTAATCTAGTGATAGTTCTTCAAGATATTTTAGGCATATAGAGTGCATTAGAATTCAAAGATGGTAGATCCTTTTTTCTTTTCTGTTTAATGTGTGTGTGTGTTTTTTTATATGCCCTTTATTGAATACATGAAAATGTATTTTTGTTGTAGTTATGAAGCCTTTGGAGTAGAAAATCATTTGAGTGTTAGTGGAAATGAATTTCAAAGTGTTCTGACTGACTACAATATTCATAATTTTTGAAATTTCTTAATAAAGTAATATGAGGATCACACTGAAATTTTTGAGAGGCTGTTAACTGGTGCATGTTAAACTAATTAAAACTTAGGAATGTTCAAAGTAGTTCCCTTCATCATCAGTGCTTTTTTTGTAGATGAATTTTTCAAAGATTAAATCATCAAAATATCTATTTCTGTGAATCAGTAAAAAATGGGCTTTTATAGCCTTGCCTTTGGATTGGAAATAACAGCCATGTAAATTTTTTTTTTAGATTAAAACGTAGCCGAAAGACACACAGCAAGATTATAACAGGAAGGATGTTTTGTCAAATTGATGCGTTTTCGTTCAATAAATTCACCTGTCAATCTTGTTTAAGAAGAAGATGCATTATCATGATGAAGCATGAATCTACTAATATTCAGTTCATGAAGAATTTCTGGTTAAACTAACAGCATGAGTGATAGCTTTGTCTTGGAAAAATGTAATCGGTCTGATGATGGCTTAGCAACTGCCAAATAACATAGTCCATATTGATATTAAAAAAAAAAAAAAAAAAAAAAAAAAAAAAAAAAAAAGAAGATATCCATTTTTCTCATTCATTCTATTGATTTCTTTGTATAGCTATTTGTAAGATGAAATAAGCAGGCTACATTATTTGACACTATCACATACTATTTCAACTGGAATTTATTCAACTTATAGGGGTTGAATATTCATTGGCAAGAAATTTGTAACATTGAAGCAAATTCCTCCTGGTATCAATATGTAACAATCAGAAGTTATAAATATTTAAGTAAAATGCCTTGTTTTGATCTTTTATTTAACTAATTTTGGGAATTCGAGTTACCATATAAGATTGCAGTCAGATTGGATGCAGATCAGAGCCTTTAATTATCAGTATCAAATCAGCTGAAAAATTTTATTTTTTTGAAAGAGTAATCATATTCTGTAAAAATAAAAGGTGGCTGTTATTTTTCTGTTGGCCCCATTTTCTCTTTTTCTTAACACTACTCGCCTCTATTTCACATTCACAACTGTACTTTGAGCCTTTTTCGCTAGTGAAAATCTGACAAAAACTAATTTTTCATTGTTATTTTACTGTTTACATTTTAAACTGTTCTTAAGCAAAACATGGATTGTCATTGCAAATCTTTATGCTACTGAGCTCCTCCTGAGATAACCACTAACCTGACTTTGTTGTAAAAGTATTACAGTGTTAGTAGTCATCCTGGCAGAAGGGAATATTTCCTCAGTGTAAAAAATATAAATATTACATGGGCATACAATGCCTGTGTATAAGCATAGATATGTTAATTACAAACATTGTCTTGTACAAGTTACATATGGTAGTTTCATAAAATCGTGACAGCTATGTGTACATTTAAACATTATCTGAATTCATATTTACAATACTTTTACTGAGATAATCAAAGTAAACTTGTAATTCATTTACACTGGGATGAACTATCACTAGTATCTAAGTTTTTTACATGTGCTTTATATGTAAGTATCTACAACATGAGCCCAAGAAAAGACAGACCAGTGCTCAGATATCTGCTTATGTATGTGTTAAATCTAATAAGATAAGAATCATCTTCCTAAGTAATGTGATATTTATTTGATGGTGCTGCCAGGGCTTAATATTAGTCAAAGGTTGCCTAACAAAATCTGTGTTGGATAGAACTATTGTAAACTGGAACTGTTCTTGTTGAGAAAATAGAAATTAGTAGAAATAGAGAAAAAAGCTAAGAATCAATTAGGATTAAATAAATACATATAAAACACAACTTGTGGCATCCTAAGTTGACAAGAATTTAATTTACCGAGAAGAAGAATTCAGATTGTCATCAATAGGAATTGGTACTTCCTTGGTAACAGAGAAGGATTGACTAACTTTGGCGGTAATTTGATATAATTAGTTTTTCTTTATTTCATATGAAAAATGTTTGGCAGTTGCTTTAAAATAGCTTTAAAGAATTTTTGACCCTGGGCTATAATTTTCTGCTGCCATATGAATGCGAAATACAACTTCAAATGGTGTTTTGCTGTATTCCTATATTTCTTGTTCCACCTTTTTTATTTTCATGACTACATCTCTTAGATGCATATTTCTCTGAAATAATTCTTCCAGCCTATAACGATATCAATTATGTAGAAATTCCTCCACTCAAAATTTTACTCATGTCATAGACCAGCAGTAGATGAATCTGATGACAGTCAGTCTGGTGCAAACCAGTTGCTGATCTGCATTTCCACCAATCCCATGTCACAAAAAGAACATGAATATCACAATGTCCTTTTGTTTTATTTTAATAAAATTTCAATTTCATGCAAATTAGAACATTGACAGTTGATCGGCAGTATATTATACTGTTGTATGAAACTAATAACATCAATTTCATTGCTAATACATCCGACCTAGGATTGAACTGTAAACTCCGAAAAAATTCTGCTCTTAAAATTGCAACTTATATCCATTTTTGAAATTTATTGATATCATACAATTGCAAATAGCGAT